TGTATCTGCCATGGATAAAGAGGACTACTATATTGATGGATTTGACAGAATTAAATTACAGAATGACATCACAAGGAAAATTATCAAGTATTTGACAAACTGGAAGAAAATGTTTCATGTAATTGAAATTAACAAGGGGTTACCATCTAGATTATACAGGAATTTACAAATGCACAAGAAAAAGATGACAAGCACAATTTGAGAATATATAAAACTAAGCAATTTATTAAAAGTCAAATATGAATTTGCAAGTCGATGAAGAAAATCTTTGACTCTTAACTCACCAGAAAATATTATAGGTAAGCCAGCCATTAACAAAATATAGGAAGATGTATACTATGCACAATGCTACTGGGAGTACACACTGGTACTGCCATCATAGAGAGCAATCTGGGCATACTTAGTGAAAATAAATATGATCCGGTAATCTATTCCAGGGAGGTATCCCAGAGGAATTTGAGCACAGGTTCATAGAGGGACAGGCACAAAGATGTTCATTGTAGCAGCAAGTTAGAGGCAGCTGGGCCCACTTTGCTACAGAAATGAATAAGTAAAATGCTGTGAATATATACAGTAAGATATCATCCATTGCTCAGAAGCAATAAATTAGTATCATATATAGCAGCATGGGTCAATCTTTGAATGAATGGTAAGAAAGATAACATTAAATTTAAAAGTTAAATTTAAAAATTAAAATTAGTTAAAATACAACAATTAAAACAGAGTGAAGCCTACAGAAAAATGTCTTTATGTAAATTAAAAACAGATGCATATATAAAACAGCATCATATGTTTCAAGGAATCATATATACTCAAAGTTTTCTGTGAACTTGGAATGTAAATGCAATAAAATGGTGCTTATAGCAAGAGGGATGGTAAACATAGTCAAAATGGATGAATGAAAAATAATCAAATTTTTAAAAATTTGACTTAAAATTCGACTGTACATAGACAGTTGAGGTATACAGTTTGTATTAGGATATATAGCTAATTCGATAAACTGTACCTGAGATTAAAAATATATAAATTATATAGTCATTTTGCCTGTCCTCTGTAACTTGGCCTGGAAAAAAAAAGTGTTATACTGAACAAAAATACTCTCCTTGCTTTTCTCAGAACATGCCAAGCTTGCAATATTTTAAGGAGGATTATGCCATTGTCCCTGGATACTTAGAGATCTCTACCTATCCAAGTACATGCTTCAAGATACAGTTTATGCTCTGCTTCTCTACAAAACCTTTTGAATTGTTTCATTCACATAAATGTCTTTTTGAAACTGTTTTTATAAGTTGCTTCATGACATCTAAGACTTAACTACACATACGCCCTCTATTGCTGTGTTATGTCTTTTCCAGGACTTTCTTTGCTAGATGCTAACATCCTAGAGATGAATTTCTTTGAAGCTCCCTGTAAGGTCTAAAACAGTGTTGTGCACACAGGAAGACCTCAACAAATACCTTAATTAATAGATTTTCAGTTGCAATGGAAAATTTATTTGAAATGTTGGTAGCAGAGGATATATAAGTGGGATCATAATGGAACATTGAAAAACTTTATTGCTTTGCAACTGGAAATTAGTTTTGAAAGTATGAGAGAACTGAGGTTCTGTTGGGAACTATAGTTCTTTGGGGGAACTAAAGAAGAATAGAGAATAATCCCAATCACACTATGAATAGAGTAGCTCTCCAATGGTGGAGGGAAATGAAGTTTGCTTTAGATTCTTCGCTATTTCAAGGTTTTCTTTCCTTTTCTTGGTGTTTTCTTGTCTAGGAAACCTTTCACACAGCATATCTCCAGCACTGACAGGCTATGTACCTTTGCTTTTTGACTGTCCTAGGCAATGATAAATAACACTACCTCTGCCCTGAATATGTAAATAATTTTATTTTACTTTAATCTGAAAACTAAAGCTAATAAAAGGCCACTCAAAATGTACTCCCTTAATCTATAAAACTGTTCTACAGCCCATTTTCCTACTTTTAAGGAAAAATATTTTTTGTTTTTGATGAAAATTATCATTACAATATGATTACTAAATATATTAATTAATTTTTGTATATGAAATTGTGGTAATTCCTTTCATTGCCATGGAAGGAAGAAATAGTCTACACAGCAGAGTTGATAAACTGAGCAGTGTTCTCACTGAGATTCTAAATCTCTTTCAGCTGTGCTCTACAAATAATCTGAATGGGAATCAAAGGTTCTCTTTGAAAGGGAACTTGAACTTTGTGCAAAATCCAACAAAAGACTGTAACTTCCAAATAAGGAGATATGTGTCACTTGCTCAGCCCTCTAGAAGGTAAAGAAAAAATGTGTTCCTTTTGACCACCATTCCAGCTTCAGGGAATGGTGGTCAAAAGGAACACAATGCAAAGTGGAAATCATCATGGAGATGAGGTAATAAAAAGATAAGCGTTCAATATCTACTTCAACTACTTCCTATTTTTGTTGTTTGAGCCAAGTCAGTAAGAAAACATTTCTGAAACTTTGCTTTTGGTATGATAAGAATGTGGGAAGATTTTTTTTATATCAACTCACAAGATCACTTGGTGGCTAAAAATAATATGTACATATAATAGCTGCCTGTTAGGAACATAAGAAACTGAGTTTCATACATTCTAGCAATTGACCAGTGATGAATGGACCTGGAGAATAGAAGGTAATCCATAAATACTTGCTGAATTAATGCAATAGAAAAATGGAATACAACATTGAGGAAGTTAAGTCAGAAAAGAACAAGAACGAGACTCACAGGCCAGGCATGTAAGAAGCAGAGGAAGAAATTCACAAAGGAAGAAAGGAAGATGTCCTCTTGATTCAGGAGTCAGTACCAGAGAAAAACTGCAGGACTCAAGGTAGTTGTAGCATAAAAGTGTTGCAAGCCCAATAGAAAAGAACAGCAAGCATGTTTAAGGAATTAAGATGCACAGTAGCAATGAACTACTTAATATAGATTAAACAACCTATGTAAACACTTTGATTTACACATTTGAGGTAGCTATAAGACAAGAAGTGAAGGAAATTGGTATCCCAATGAATGCATTATAGACTTTACACTTAGAGCAATTTAAATTCAGGTTCTACCATTAACTCTGTGACATCTAGAAAATGAAGAATTCAATTCTGAGAAATAAAGATTGTAGTATCTACTTTGTAGGATTGTCTCTTTGACAAGAATATAAAAGGACCCAAAATATGCCTGACATTTCTGTCATTACCATTATTATTGGCATTACTGTAGATTTTCATGTCCAATTAGGTGTGTATCAGTACTTTAAGGTATATATGTCTTGACTGCAATTCAAGAACTTGTAATTTGTAAAGAAACTTTAATTTGTAACTTGTAAAGTAAATGACTTCTTTATTTTTATATTGTCTTCTATGTGTACTTTTTACTCCTTCACGTCCTTTAAAAGCCACACTTCCAACCAAATAAATAAAAAAAATTCTAAATCTGGCCTAGCACCACTGAAGGAGGAAAAGGCACCATTCCATACTCATTCTAGAGTAGTTAGGTTGCCTGCCTATGTGGCTGCCCTCTGGCCAGCTAGGCCCAGGATCTCAGAAGAACAGAAGAGACTGGGCAGTACCAGGGGAAGGACAAGTGGTAATTCAGGCATAGTTGAAGTTTTCTTTTTCTTTTCTGGTATGAGGATTGAACTCAAGGGCATTCTACCACTGAGCTGCATGATCAACCCTTTTTATTTATTTTTTTTAAATTTTGAGACAAGGTGAAGGAAGCTGTGGCTTCCTGATAAGTTGCTGTGGCTGGTCTCAAACTTGCTATTGTTTTGCCTCAGTCCCCAAGTCACTGGGATTACAAGCATGTGCCACTGTGCCCAGTTATGGTTACAGTTTTCCTTACATGATTCCATACAAGAGATAGACTACAACATTCAAGTGGCTTAGAGCACCTTCCCAATGAGACATTCAGGCCTCAAATTTACTTTTTAAAACAATACCCTCATGTAAGTGGTTAGTAGTGAGAATCTTCCTTCCGAAAAAGGTTTATAAGGTGCATACTTTTAATTGTAGACAAAAGCTAGACAAGATGTCAAGATTTTTCAATTACACAGAATAACGAGAGAAATAATGTAAGATTTGTTATTTACAATACAGGATATTGATGACTTGCCTGTATATATATAAGAGTCAACAAACAAAACTGCTTATCAGTACTAAATCCAGTTTCCAAAGAAACTTAGTTCTGGTGAAATGCATTAAGAATGTTAAGCAAGGCCATTAGAATGATTTACATAATTAGGTAGCTAGCTCCCCAGTTTAAACTCCCTGATCAAGCATAGTTTTGATGTTATCTCATTAGTTAGCAAGCCAGCACACCTTTTGGCTCAAGGAAGAAAAAGCATAGGGGTCAGGGTAGGCCAAGAGTAGAGGAAGATGGGGGAGGGCTAGGTTTCACTTCTAATTTTTGGCCCAAGCTTTCATGAAGCCGAGGAAATTGTTTTTACGGAGTTAAGAGCAATCCCAGTCCCACAATCCCAGAGAGAAAACGTGATTTCTCAAGGATAATGTTGTGTTAACTCATGAAGCTGTGTGTGAACATAAAATCTAGGGGTGACCCTGTGGTAAAGTCGTGTGACCTACGACGGGGAAATGGAGAGAGTGCTGCTTACAAGTGTACAGCACCAGGACGTTGGTACGATTTGCTTTTTGCTTATGGAGTTTGCGCACAGCGATAAGCGACAGGACATACTTGCATTGATTGGTGATGGGGAGCCCGTGAGGCGCTGATATACTCTAAAAAAAGGAGATTAAGGTGAGAGGGCAAACGAAGCTGGAGTTGAACAAAGGCGCTGTTGGATCACAGAATACTGCTTCGGCTTCCCAAGAGGGTGGCGGTGAGAGCCGCGAGCCTGAGTGTGGCGAGCTCAGACAGCTGTAGGCACGTCCCAGCCGTTCCTCGCCGCGTCCACGCCCCTCTGGAGCCCCGCCCCCTTGCGCGGACCAATGGTGGGCCGGGATGTTAGCAGGTGGGAGGCGCGGCCGGGTTGCTACAGCCAAAGCTGGGCGGCGGCGGATGCTGCTGAGAGAGTTGCGGGGAGTCGGAGGCGGTGGCGCAATGGAGGGGCTGGAAGGTGAGGAGGTGAAGGGATGCGGGCCGGGAACGAGCATGGACCCGGAGCACTTGGGGGCCCTGGACACCAATCCCATGAAGGCGAAGGCCGTTCAGGAGTGGGGATCCCCGTCGTGCCTGCGGAGGCCCGGGCGGGTAAAGCTGGACAGCCCCCGGCGTCTTGGAACATAGGACTCCCAGGCTGCCCCGCCTCACAAGGTCTTCAGCTGGACTACCCCACCCCTGCCGGAGCTAGCCTTGGCTCAACCTGCACGTCATCCCCTACCGTTTTCTGGTCTTGGGGAACTCCTGAGTTTACTGTAATCGCTGTAATCACAGGGGCACTGGCCAGATTTTATTTTCCTTGCATACTGGTCTCGGTAAATGTCCACGGCCTCCCCACCGCCAAGTCTTTGCTGGTCCCACGGGATTTATCTTTCACTTCCAGCCAGCTCCTGACACTTTCTTGGCCAGTTTCCCCAGATAACCGTTTTTTCCATTTCTACAGCATCTTCCATCAGAGAGGTGCCAGAGCATTATCCTAAGGCAGTGTCTCTGGCCAGCTCTAGAGCCGGGACAATAGATTACCAGAAGTATTTAATGGTTTAGTCACAAGGGCTGTGTAAGGTAGAACCAGTATTGGTTCCTTATCTTTGGGTTTATCCTTGTGCTGTAACCATGACTCCAGATTTTGCTTTGTTCCCAGTTCTTTCACTTTTTCTGTATTCTCTACCCATTTTATCTTGTGTAAGGACAGCAGTCGCTTAAAAACAAAGGAAGGAAAAAAACAGCATTGGCAACAACGGTTTCAAAATAAAATTTTTTAATTGGTAATCCTTCTGATGAAGAAAAGGCTTTCAGATTGAAAGATTCTGTTGTCTTGATTCAGGTCCTTTTTTCTCCTAATTTGCATGGATTCAGGTGAAATTAAGGATAAGCAAAGGCACTGAACCCTTTGTATTGTTATGTGATAGGAAAATACTTGTGTTATGAAGTGAAAAGTGATAACTAGTAACTTCTTAGTAATCTGAAAGCAAATGCAATAACATGAGTATGAGTTTTTTCATGCTTTTCCTGTAGTCTAAAAATCTTATTGAACACCTTTATGATGATAGATAAAGAATTCTGACAGTTCTCCATTTGTGGGCAGCTATAGCTATGACCTATGAAGATCTTGTTTCCTTTCTGAATTTACTTTATGAATTTTCCATAAAATCAGAAATTGTACTGATAGTACTCTTTTCTTTCAGGATAATCTATTTAGTGGACTTCTCTGGAGGCAGCCTATTTTTAAATTATCTTAAAATATGTAGTGATGTCATGACAAAGTGGCTTGGAGCATGGGTTCTGGAGTTCTTATACGATTATTATAATACACATGAAGTGCTTTAATTTGCATATTTTTATTATTTTATTCAACATCTGCAATGATCTTCATCTAATTTTTTTACTTACGTTTTCTAAGCACTCTTCTGCCCTGAAAATGTACCAGAGAATAAAAATAGTCAAGGTCTAGCCCATATTGTAGAACTTACATTATTACAGTTCTGGTAGTACTATTACATTTAAGATATAATGGAGCCTATTATAATATTAAATTACACGGGTCGAGAAATACATTCTAATGAAGTATGGAATGGACATGTTTTATGGACCTAGCTTATGATATATCATGTTAAAAAGTACTTGATATTTTTAGAACAAAATAGGATGAGGTCCTAAACTATAATGCACTTAAATGTAATTAATTAGGTTGAAATATATGAAAATTGCTTTTTGTCTGGCAAAACAGTTGAATTTTGGGTAAGTGGTTTAGCCTAATAAAGCTCTTTTGAGTTTTCTTTTGAAGGGAGGACAGTGCCTTTCTTGCTTAATTCCCCTAACCCCTCCTCCTTTAAAAAAATTAGTTCTTATTAGATCACATTTGCTGAAACTTTAAATCTTAAGCTTGCCATTAATTAATTCATCCACCTATACCTCCATTTAATAAATATTGATACAGTGATAGATGTCTTTTCCCTATATTGGAAATTTAAGTCTACTACTTTGACAGTGTCTGATAAACATTATATTGAATTGTTGCATTATATTGCAGTATCTAGTGTAAAATCTTCAAGTTTGCATAATGTGTTGTAGTGGTATTTGCATGTAAATCATATACCACTTATATTATTTTTTATCTTCTGGGGCTTTTTAAAAAAATGTCAAAGAGATGAGCTATTACACTCAACACTGTGTTTTGAAACCAAATTTAAGTTAATGCTCATATTTTCTATAATTGATAACTGAGCATTTCTGTAAGGTTTGAACAGTTAAAACTCAGTCTTTATTTTCTTTCACCTTAAGGCTGTGAGGTGTATCTAAGAACAATAAAAATAGGTTTAGATTTAGGAGACTTACAGTCTCTTATGTTATCTTCTGTAAAATTAAGAGCAGATAAAATCTAAGCAGATTTTATATTGCATTGTCATTGCCTTCATAATGTCCTCCTTAGTGATGATAACAATTGTGGCAGAGATCAGACTACCCATTACTCTTAGGTTGCCAAAATTATTACATCTTAGTATTGCCTTCTGAAACTTGATTAGAAATGAAATTGTTGTTCTATAGTATTGCCCTTTTTCTAGTTGAAGGTAGCCATTATGTCCCATTAAAGTTTCTGCTTTGTTTTTCCTTAGGATAAATATATACTAGGTCATTGAATAATTCTTCTGTCTCTATTAATTTTTAGCATTCATTATATTTTGGGAACTGAGTTGGATGCCAGATACTTTAATGGCAAATGTAGAGGCTTATATTTGAATCCTTGCTTTGTTTCCTTTTATTTGTATGATTTGGACATTTATTTAATCAAAACCTCAGTTTCCTTAGCTGTAAAAAACTGTTGTTGAGTACTAGACTACCATATTATTAAATACTTAAAGCATTTAGCTATGTCTAGACTGAAGGCTCTTCAGCACAGTTTACTGGATGGATTAAATCAAAGGAGATGTGTTAGATGCTTAAGGATAGTCCAGTATTTCTTGCCATGCTGTATTTCACCACCCAATTGTCACAGATCTTATGACTTTTTTTTTTTTTTGCAAAAAGTTGGGATACAATATACTCTACTGTCATGTATAACTAAAAAGAACACGTATAACTAAAAAAAAAAAAATTGGAGTACAACCATTATGTGAAACTTTTTTAAAAAAATATGCTGGTTTTACTTAAAAAATCATTAATTATTAACTGTCCTTAGTGCAAGATTAGGATATTCAAAATATTCCTGAAAATATATTAAAATATATTAAAATTGAATTGTCCAAACCTGCACACATCATTTCTTCATGACCGTTTGGCAAACATATTTCCAATCTGAGAAAAAAAAGTTAACACATTAGTTGTTATTGATTTTTGCAATATAGTCAAATTAATATACTTGACAAAATTTACTCCAGGGTTACAAAATATGGACTTAGAAAATTTAATTTGTGTCTGAAGATTTTGCACAGCTATCCCTGGTTCAGTTATCTGAGCACTCTCCTCTGCTCCACTCATATAAGATGTGCTTATCTTTAATGCTGCAGCCTTCTCAACACACCACAAATTGACTTTCAAAAATATACTGACCATGTATGTACACTGAAAATTGTAAGCTCTCCTGGCAGCACGAGAAGACAAATGCACATCCATGTGCTACTGTAAATACATTACTGTTCTGTTTACCTTATCATTGAGGTGATGAACAGAATTATACCATGTGACAATTGTTCAATTTTTGGACTGAAAAACAGGGCACATCGATTATGCAGTGGTACCACTTATGCAGAGAAATATAGCAGGTAAAACATGTCATCTATCTCCCTCGTTAATTATGGTAGTACTGGAGGTAAATTTGGATAGACTGAAAAAGAAAGAGGCTGAAATTCTTAGATGTGATGAGGTTTGGAACTGAGGAATTAGTATAACGAATTAAAAGGGAGGACAGATATTTCTTAGGTAGAAAATTGAGATATCATTGCTAGATGTGTAAGGGAAAAGAAATCAAAGATAAAGCAGCTTTCTAGCTTTAAGTAGAAGAGGGGTAATATCTTTAAGAAGAAGATCTAGTTTGCTGGATGAGCTAATGAGTTTGGCTTTAGAGATGTGTTTGTGCAGTACTTGGGGGTATCCTGTGGAAAAGTCTCATAGTTACTTGGAAATATCTATCTATTTGGAGCTTTTGATTTAGTAGTTACTGGCATATGTGACTCAAACGGGTGCAGTAACCCAAGCAAACCATAATTTAACAAAATGAGGGAAGAAACTTGCAAAAAAACTAATGCTTTAAAACTGAGCAGGTCAGGAAATTAGGGTGGGAGAGTCTTTAAAGAATTTTTAAAAATTGTCATGAAAAGAAAATGGGGAAGAAACTAATATTTATGGAGTAGTGATTGTGTCCTAGAAAAAGCCTATGGCACCTGATATTACTAGGAAGTCTGGATACTAACGAGTCCAAACCCTGCTTAGTTTGTAACATCTGGAAATTTGGGGCTTAGGAGAAAGAAACAGAAGCCAAGAGAGGAAGGAATTTAAAGGTTGAAGGGTTTTTATCAACAGTGCCTCATGCTGCAAAAACAGGATAAGGATGCAAAAGCGGGACTCAAATTTAACAATTAGTAAATTAATAGTGAGTGGTTATCTCTGTTTCTTTAAGTCTTTAATTATCCTCATTAACGAAGCTTTCCCTTATCCTACCCATTTCCCAAAGATAGCTTTATGACTCTCCTGTTTTCCCTTATTCTTTTCTTCCTTCATTGTGTTTATCACCACCTGGCATTTTATATATTTATCTATTTTTACCCCCCATCCCCAACCCCCATTAAAATAGTAGAAGCTCCATGAGATTGGAGTCTTTGTTTTCTTTATTCCTGGATTCCTACATTTTAGAACACTTCTTGTCTTGTGTTAAGTGCTCAACAAATACGTACTAAGTCGAGGAAAGAAACTGTTTTAATATAATGGTTAGGATTAAAAGTCGGCCTGCACTAATGCCATCCA